AAATTTTTTAAAAAAACAACAAACTTTTGACATTTTGTATTGTTGTTGCTAGACTTAAAAATACTTAGACTTAAATACTCCCAGTTCTTGAGATGCATAAGGCATGGAAGATTTGTCTGTGGCTAAGGTGGGGACATCACTTCATTTCTTGTCTTCTAGCTTCACATCTTTTGCAATCTGTTTTCAGTTCATCTTTGGTTATCCCCTTCCTCTTTTCTCATCGACTTTCCAGTAAGCCCAATCTCTCCTTCTTTTTTTTGTGTTTGTTACTCTCCTGTAACACCTCTAATCTTCGGCACTTATGTGACCTTATTGTATTGTGTTGCAAGTACCGTTAAACTCTGACTAAAACATCAGAAATCTTTCTAGCGGATGTTGACTAGGCCTTCGGTACCTTGTACAGGCATACTGTTGTCAAAGAAATTCAGTAGCCTTTTAATCTAGCTGTTCCCTCTTTAAGCTCCGTGACTCACATGATTTCTGACAGCAGGACGTTTTGAGTTGTAGTCTCAGCTTTAACTTTGAACTCCAGCTCTATATTTTACCAAAGTTTATTGAGATGTTGAAGGTTACTGCAGGGCTTTTACCCATACGGATTTTTAAAAGAAATCTTTTTCGGTGGAACCATCAGCTTTTTGGCTATATGAACGATTCCGCCGTGTCTAGGGTATTGTAGTTTAACTTGATGTCCGGAGGTGGTGCGCATTTGACAATTGAAATAAGACCTAATTAATTGCTGTGTCTTTCCTCTATTGATTTGCAGCCCTGGTTCATCCTGAGATGTAACTCTGGTTGTTGATTGTTGATGTCTGGACTTCTCTTTCAGTTTCTCCTGGCAAGGTCAAAGACATCAGAAAAATTTGTTGTAGCTACTACCGTACATCAAAGATAATTCCTACTTATTTTTTCATGGCTTTTCGCCCAATATGATCTACCTTTGCTCAACTCCCCTTTTTAAAGAAGCCTCCCCTTTCCATAATCTATCTTCTGGATGACCCAAATATTCAATATCATCCTATACATTTCTGTTTTATTTTCACTTTGATATTCCAATGTGCCTTTCCTGTACATTGTCATAGGTCTGTCTGTTCCTGATTTGGCATTTGAAGAAGGTCATATATAGCCTACTGCCATTTTTGCTTGTGTTGGCCTATTCCGATAATGTTAATTTCAAGTGACGGTACGTAGTTTCTTGAAACTTCATTTATGGTGTAGCCTAGTGCGGTCAGAAATTCGAGGCGCAACATGGAATCAGTGATGAGAACAGCATGGGTTGTGTGGGGGCGATCTTGAGTCATCCATATATATATATATATATATATATATATATATATATATATATATATATATATATATATATATATATATATATATATATATATATATATATATACATACATACACATACATGTGTTTATATATATATATATGCATACATGTGTTTATATATACATGTATATCTTAGCGTACAAGAAGGTTTCTTGTACGCTAAGATGTATATAAGTGCTTTCGTGATGGATTCCATATATCCAGTCGCATACTTGATATGTAGTCCTGCTGCAGGCTCCATGTGCACTGTGAATGATTTTTATTGTTGGTGAATGCAACAAATCCCCATCCACTTCGCCGGCTATCTCTTTTCACTGAGCTATCTGTATAAATTACAGGATCCCCTGCAGTGGAGTTTTTGTCAACAATCTCGTTGATATCACCCTCGTTGATGAAAGCCGCCACATTTCTTCTGTCTCTGCCCATGCTTATTTTGACCTTGGTGAGATCCCTGTACTCTCCCACCACCTGTTCCCATTCTTCACCAAGTGGTAGACTCTCAGGTACACATATTATTATGAGGGAATCCTCTGCTTCCGCCATCCCAGCTGTGAACCTTCTAAAATCAGAACAAACCAAGCACCCACTTGGATTTTAAAAAATGTCATTGAGGAATTTTCTAGAATACAGCTAATACTGGTGTTTACAAAAATGCTGATCGCTCAAGACAAATTGATACAAGCCACTGTGCAAAAGCCGGAAATTTTATGTTCGGTAGGGCCTAGTTGAGGATATCTGACAATAAAGTTGCGCTACGAATTTTTTACGTACTATTGATGACATTATTCAAGAGTCTCAGAACTAATCATTATCTAAAAGGCGATATATTCTACTAACGACTAAATGCCAAAAGTGTTGTTGACAGTATTATTAGCCTTTTCTATTCGTTTGAGGTACAGATTGTTTTGTGTATTAGGAAGATATAAAAGAAAAATGTATTCATGATAATGCTATTGTAGAATTTGTATCTGATGCAGGCAATAACCTGAACCTAAATCGCCCCCCCCCCTTTCCTACTGAAAAGGAATAGAGAAAGCCTTTAGGCTATTTCTTTTTACCCTCAAAAGGAAAGCTTCCCTGGCTAGCCAAAAGCCAATGTTTCCAAAACAATGCGAATAGCAGATGGGGCGGCGCAGCTCGGCGCGGGTAAAATAATCACATTGACTCATGACTGACTGACATTCACATAGATCTAGATCGGGCGGGCGGACAGGCGACAGACCAGACTACTTTCGCTTTTATAGGCCAAGCCTAGAGACAAGAGATCTAAAATTTCCCAACACTTTACTCTCGATATTAGTAAAGATACTTATATAGGCCCTAGTGATAGATCTAGATATCTAGATCTACATCTAAGATCTAGATCTAGATCTATATCCGTATCTCTCGCCTAAGTCCTAAGTTTGGGTTTCAGCAGCATTTCCTGCCGGTTTGTTGTTGTTGTTATTGTTGACTGCAATTTACTTGGCGATTGTCAAGATTTCCGCGTTTAATTCCGATGTGCGCTGTTCAAAGCCTAAGGTATGTTTCGCTTTGATGCATTTGGAGTTAGGGTCAGGGTTAGGGTTAGGGACCAAAGCGAAACATACCTTAGGCTTTGAAAAGGGCACATCGGAATTAAACGCGGAAATCTTGACAATCGCCATTTACTTTTCACTATAATATAAATTGATGAAAATCTCCAGTCATCCAGTCAGTCCCAGTTGTTGATCTAGATATAGATCTATATATCTAGATTTCTAGACTAGTTCTAGATTCTACTGGCATCATTGGATTGAATCAAGTTTGCCTTCCTTTCCCACAGGACATCCTGAACATCTCTCTGTTGTTTACGTAACTGATTTCTTCTGAAGTGCGGGCTCTGGTTCTTCAGTAAGATGGAACAGCACAGGTAAGACGAGTTGTTTGTTTGGAGCAACTTCAACTTGACAACTGAGTCCTGAGTTTGATAATTCAGTCAGCTGGACCAAGTTGGGTAAATTTATACAGTAGAACATAACTAGCACTATAGCCTATGTGACTATATAGCGGCATCTGCTACAGCGGGACCTTGCCTACAGCGCGATCTTACCAGAACCATAAAATAAGATGGCTTCCAACAAAGACAAAAGGAAATTTTCTGACTCGACTTTAACTTTAAAGGCCAAGATATTAACGAAGTTGACAAGAAAAGGAAGACTAATCTAAAACGCATGTTTTATTGATGTATGGAAAGGCAGGTAATCATGTGGATTTAAAGAAAGGCAGGCGCTATTTGTAACGTCGCGTTCTGAATAGCTCCCATGCCATGCTATTTGAAACGCCAGTTCTAGATCTAGAACAAAGCAACAAGTTATAATTAGATCTATGGGAAAAATTTGTTGGTCAGACAAGAAGAGGACAGGAAAAGAAAAAACCCCTTCCAGGACTGGGATTCGTACCCATGCTCATAAAATAATGGTTTGGCTTCAAACGCAGTCGCGCTGTCCCTTCGCCCATCAGAAATTCCAACTACGAAAGGTAGATTAAGCTTCGAATGTAAAAACAGCGTTTTATTTAGCACTGGCGCTCATCGCAACGCTGCATTTTATTTAGCACTGGCGCTATCACAACACAGCGTTGCAAATAGGCACTTCCTTAAAGTTAAATAAAAAGAAGTAGAAGTCAAAGAAGCAAAGTTGATAAATTATTAAAAGTATATTTTTATCAAAAATTAGAAAAAAATCTAGCGTCATTTTATTTGGAATTGATGGTGCAGTTACCCTCCAAATTTCATATCAAATCTTTAACTGGTTTTTGAGTTTTTAGCTTTTAAAGCCAAGAAATGAACAAAAACATCTCAAAATTGCTCTTAAGCATTGTATTGGCTCACAATGTTACAAACCATAGGAGCTATCTTTGAAATACAGCGTTGGGAGTACTGCCATTCAATTTAGCACATCATTTTCTAGGGAAGTTTTTCAAAACCCCAAAAACATTGTTTGCACCCAGACAACCTGAAAAACGAGTGTGTGGCCTTAATTAAAAATCTGTGGCTAGTGATTACAGCTTGGCTTTTCTCAAGGAAGCCAGAGTTGTTCGCCAATGGTATCTTTATTGGCATTGGCGTTTTATACCCTGAGTTGAATAAATATGATTTATTATATGATGATAATACAGCCTCCTTTACTTTGCAGATGGCTCCGATCTGACTCACAATGTTGATTAATTGGCCGTTAATTGATTCCATGCTTTTTTTGTCTGTTTCTACAGTCCAATGGACCAGTCTAAGTACGAGGAAGATCGTAGTAAGAACTGTGTATTAGAATCCTCTATATGTGAACGTCTGACAACGGAGCCTTGCTGGCTTGGAATTGACGAAGCTGGTAGAGGTCCTGTACTAGGTATGTCGATGAATGAAAAATTGTCTTTTAAACACTCATTGCAAGTAACCCAAAAGTAGAAAGAAAGACTTAATACAATTACGATCAAATTGAAGATAAGCTTCATCTTTGGTAAGCAAAGATTGCCTTTTAAAAATATTGTTATTCTCACAAAGTCAAGACTGGCTTTAAGTAGCTTGTTGAGCAGGTTTACTGTTTTGGGATAGTAATAGGCCTGTAGTCTATAAAAGTGCTCTTTCTTCTTCTCCGTCGCATCACACTTGAAGTCTGGTATCTGTCACTGTCATAAATTGGGCCGTCCTGGTCAGTTCATCTGTCGGCGTGTATAGCTTCTCTTGTAGTGTCAGTATGTATATAAAATTAAAAGTGCTTACTTCATTTACTACCAGATGTAATTACTGTCTGTTATTGTTTTACTTTTATTTTTAAGATAAGAAATGATAAACATCAAGGTGAGGTAAATTTTCCATTATATTTTTTGGTGGGTGGTTGGCGGGTGCTCTGGTGTGGTTTGTTTGTTCTTCTTTCCTATCAAACATCTATCGTCCTTATCTCCCCTTCTTCTTTTTTATGTTTGTTACCCTCTTGTAACACCTCTAATCTTCTGACGCTCATATTACCTTTTATGCAGCTGCGAGCGCTGTAAAACCTCTACTATACCCCCCGGGGCAGTGCCGCTGACTGTAGTGTCTTTAGGTTATTCCCAAAGGGAAGACATTTCTCGTTCAAGCAAAGTAAAATTGTTAATGGGCTGATTCATCATGTCATACTCATAACTGTGCCTGATCTGCAACAGGGAACTGCTGCTTTTTCTTTCCTAATCCGTACTATTGTCATTTTCCTCTACTTCTTTTGTATGTTTGTCACTCTCTTGTGACCGACTATTTCCGGGGTGCCTTGATAGTCGAAGCAGACCTTGTGCTGTTGAAGCTAGAGAGGTGAGCAGTCTAAGTCTGATTCCCTGTAAAGACTTCTCTGTTGACACCCACCCCTTGGCGCTCATATAACCTTATGCAGTTGCGAGCGCCGTAAAACTCTCTACTATAAAAAAAAACCAAAAAAAAAAAACCTCTACTAAGAAAACATTTTGGTTCACTCATATGATAATATCATTGATTGTTATCTCTCAGGACCTCTTGTGTATGGAATCTGCTTCAGCCCTGTTGTGGAGAAACAGAAATTTGGAGAAATGGGATTTGCAGGTAAATATGCTGTGACATTTTTTAATAAGAGTAATATTTTCGTTCACTTTTTTTGTGTGCAAAAGTAAAGAAAAATTCATGGAGGAAGTGTTGGGAGTAATTTGGTTAATAAAATATGTACCAAAAGTTTGCAAGGTTGAAAATTCTACCCTCATGTATAATATCGTCGCCGTCTTGATAAGATCGGATAAGTGACATGGTGTAAATAAATTTTTCTGAAGAAAAAAACTTGATTTGTTAACACTTTACAGTCACGCAGCCAGCACTACAAAATGCCCTATTCGGGTAACCCTGCCAGGAGAGTGATTGTTGCAGACTTCTTGAGCTTGTCACAGAACTGCACCAAGTGAGCGGAATGGGTCATTTTTACAGTCGCATTATTGCAGCAAGTGACCGCAAAGTGTTAAAAAAATAGCTTTGAGTTATCTGATTTTTTTGCTGTTGAAAAGTCCATTTTTAGTTGTTTATGATGTGAATAAAAAATTTGACCAGCATATGAAACATGCTTTGTTGAATATGTTTTGCAAAAAACAACAAAATCGGAAATTTTGTTATTTTCTTATCTTCTCATGATGGCGATGATATATCTAATGATATGAAATGAATTTAAGCAAAAGCTTCCCAAAGCCAACAGAGCAGAAAAAAACCCATTATCAGATCAATTATATTTTTTATTGTCTTCAAGGATGTTTACAAATATATAAGGACATATGTTTAAAATCTCATGTTGCAATTTGACAGCAGAAATTAATGGTACATTCTCTTATGATTTTGAAGAAATGAAAAAAGGAAATGAATTTCTTTCTGGTTTGCCGTGCACTTTACGCTTTATACTCTATATCCATACCTTATGTTGACGCCCTGAACTTAATTATTATGCTTTCTCCTTTAGACCCATATAATATAATGAGTGCACCTGTCAGTGCTGATACCTTTTTCTGGTTTGCTCATCACCTCTTTTAGCTCAGCTCAGTCATCAGTACACTTATCCAAGGTCTTTAGGATCTTGAGTCTTTAACAAGATTATTCTTTTCTGGTTTGGAATGTTTTTCCAGGGGGGGTAGTGGTATTTGGTGCTCTCCATTAGAACTGATCCATTCTGTGTGTAGCTTTGTAGAAAGGACTGATCTCAGCTGAGTTTGTGTGTGTTTTATGAGTTTGTGACAATAGAACACTGGAGTTTAATGTTGGGAGATACAAAGGTTGTGTTTGTTTTACCTTTAACCCTATCCATACACCCTGGGGTCATTTGTACCTCCGAGGTTGTATTCTTCACATTTTAGAATACTTCTAGTGCGAAGATCTCTTTTAAATTTTCAGTATTTAAAAAAAAATCATTTTGACAGACTGCTATCCAAAGTACGGATCAGACTAACGAGTAAATTTCCTCTTTAAAAGTGGTGGCACAGGGTTCCCCACGTCGTATGGATACGATAGTCAAACACGACGTACGGATAGGGATAAGTTACTGGTGCATCTTTTTTTCCGTAACTGATTGCTGTACTTTGCTGTTGACTGGTGTAGTTCATGTCCTTTAATTAATGTGAGCTATTTTTTATGCCCCCGTCATCAGACTCAAAGACTTTGACAGAAGAACAAAGAGAATCCATCTTTGCCAAAATGAATGATGCATTGGATCTGCTTGGATGGATAGTAGAGGTTCTTTCTTCAGCATATATCTCGACAAGCATGTTAAGGAGGTATGACTTTATGTGCAATACAATAAATTTCATTTTTCTTTTTTTCAGTGCTTCCACAGTTCCGTACTTGTTCCTCCATCATGGTCTACTCCCTCAGTCCCTCCGTAAAAACCTAAAACAGCGTAGGACAGCCGAAATTCCATAGCAAAAGATCCGCACTTGCCATGGCATCGTCTTGTAGGCCTATAAGTTATGGATATTTACAGCAATTCTCTCGGCAATAAGTTAATGTTATAGAAACCTGTCAAATTGGGCATTTCCTGCAATCGGCCATTATTCCGCTGTGGCCCATGCATTCATTGCGGTTTGGTTGGCATTACAATTTTACCTGCAGATTGATCAAAATCTGGAGAACTTTTTGTGCCCATTTCCTCCTTTTTATCTTTTACTCATTTTGTTTTGTCTATCTTCGGATTGTCGCAGCGGCTGGAAAATCTGCGTGTTGATCAAATAAATTGACTTGTGATCTTAGACAGAAAATTACTGTCAGAAAGATACTTTTTTGCAAATTTGCCTAGATCTAGAGAAATTGTCATGCGAATATTCTATGGCACGGGAACGCGATAAGGGCTGCGATGAAAGAAATATATGCTAAGACTACTAATATCAAGAATAATTCGAAGTGGTGTTCTGAGGTTGTGACATGCGACATTTAGACGTGAAAATTGAGGAAAATCAGGGTATACGCTGGGCAACTGTATTGTGAAGGTACATATCTATTCATTATTCCCAGGTTTGCTTTTTATCAGTGGTGTGATGGCAAATTAATTGAATTATTATAGTGGCAATGGAAGGGGAACCTGCTTTTAAACATTTCCAGCAATGGAAAGATAAAATGTGGGTGAAGAAATCAAACAAGACAAAATGTTGGCGAAAAAATAAATGTTATGGGTTGTAGGTAATCTCTTCGAACAGGCTCCCAAATGCCATTTTCAACCCTCTAAAGGCACTAAATTTCAATTTCTTCGAGGGCTTCGCCCCCTGAGCTCCCACCGGGACGCTGTCCCTGGACCCTGATGGGGGCCTGTGCTGTCCTCAAACCCCCTGCTGAATTTTCCTTACTTTTCAGCTTTAGCTGGTGGAAGCACTGTTTTTTCTAACTGCTTACTTTTGTTGACTTCTGCTTTCATGACATGGTGTTGGCTAAGTATTATAGTAATATAATATATATGTATTCTCTGTATTTTATTATGTATTTGAGTGGAAATGCTCCTTTATTTAGCAATGACCACGAAAATCCTTTTTTTGCCAGAAAGTGTTTACAAATAGGTGCATTTTGTAGCTTTATCTTCACAGAGCATGGAACTTTTTGAATTTTTGAAATCCATCAATAAACAAAAAAGTTACAGATTTTTTAATCAATTAATTTCTGGTACACTTTTATATAATGAAAAAAGCCCAAAATATGGGACGTTCTTTGGTGAGTTTTGAGACAATATTCGTCATAACTCGCTCATTTCTCGGAGTATTTAAAAGAAACTTGGCAGCCCAGTGCATTTTCTAGTGCAAAATATAGTCCTGCTTTCAGATTTTTCATAGCTATCCTATTTTGTGAGTTATGAAGACGTTTATAGGTTAAAATGTGGCGCTTTTCGGTGCGTTTTGAGACAATATTTGTCATACCTCACCTATTTCTTGGAATATGTAAATAAAACTTGGCAGTCTAATACATTTTTCAATGCAGAATCTAGTCATGCTGTCAGATTTTTAATATCTGTCATACTTTTTGAGTTGTAAAGACATTAACAGGTAAAAAAGTGGCGTTCTTTACAGATTTACAAAGATTATCAGTCATATGTTCTCCCAAAGTCATGATATTTGAATGAAACTTGGCAACATAAAAGGTTCCTCCTTGCCAAGCAATGTTCTGGATCAATTTGTCACAAAAATGTAAGTAGAGAGCTACTAATAAATCCAGTTCTGTACTAGTAAAAGCATGCATACTTTGTTATAGAAAATAAGATCGTCTCTGTGTATATCCATTGTTGGACAGTGTCCTATTGTGTGTTAGATTAAGATGCGTTCAGATAATATAGTTTACAAGTCATGGGAATATTTCGCATGTGTAGGCTACAACTCATACAATAAATGTAACATATTTACACACACCCCCCTCTCTCTCTCTCTCTCTCTCACGCGCGCACACGCACACATGCACGCGCGCGCACGCACGCGTGAACGATAACAATGTATAAACGGGACTATCTTCCCAGACTGGACTAAATAAGTACCATACTCTTTAATAACAATCTTAAATGCCTCACTTTTCCAAACAGAGCACACAGGACGAGTCCAAGTGTGTGCATTCCCAAGAGGGGGGAATAGGCTTTCATAACGCAAACACAATGCCATACCACTTCTCAAGATGTTTGCTTTTCTGTTTCTATTCTTCTGTCATGCAATCAAGCAAATAAAAATGACTACATCTATTGTATTGTGACTAAAATGCAACAAAAACGCAAGTTATCAAGGCCCCCGTTTAGTTTTCAAGTATCCTTCCCCCCCTTTCCGGTTCACATAAGCGGGGCCTCGTTTGTAGCGACCGATGGCTGATGACGTCACTCAGTGGAAATTTCCAGTCCGCAGGTCGTCGCGCAAATAGCAATGTCGCTTTTTCCCTTAGTTACTCCCACATTTTTAAACATTACGCGAAAACCACTAAACACAGAAGCTTGAAATTTTAAGGGAATAAAGAAAAATGGTGTACAACGTATCAGTCAGTTTGACAAATCACAGCTCCGAAAAATCTTCAAAGCGCACTACATCAACCACTTTCGCAAACGTTTTCGACTGCTTCTAGGACGAGTACAATGTTGTCAAACTGCATACTACGATATTGACCTCTTTTCTGATTGGCTGCCAAGTTTCATTCATATCCATTCACGAGAAGCGGCGTGAGAGCGAGTTGAAGACAACAACCTTTGCGTTCGGGGGCCAAAAATCGGCAGAACAAAACGCGCTCGGTGGGCTTTGCTACTTTATTCGGTGTAACTGGTTGAAGTGAATTTACAATACTCCTAATTGTGCTACTGTGAAGAGGCTTTATTTGCAGGGTTTTTTTTCAATCCTGTTTTTGTGACTACTTGTTATGAAAAGTGGAAAGCAATATTTTGAAATGTTACGATTTTCCTGTATTCCAGAGAAAAATACAATTTGAATGCGCTCTCACATGACTGTGCTATTGGGCTGATTCAGAAAGCTTTGGACAGAGGTGTCAATGTCACCGAGGTATTTGGCTGTTATCCTCTGAGGTGTATTAAGTGTCAATTAATGCTTCCTATCACGGTTGTGTCTTGTCAGTTGAGACAACTTTGTATTAAGTTTATCTGAAAGAAAGTGAAATTTTTAGGATGGTGTTTGTGAATGTTTCATTTCTCTGTTTATTTAAGTAATTTGTCCGCTGTTTTTGTAATGGCTTTGTAAGGAACAGACATTTAAACAAGGTGACTGCCAGTAAAAAAGTGCCAGGTCTCGTGAATTCCTGGGCTTTGGAAATTTGATTAAAATAACCAAGTTCCTGGAATTTAGGAGAGTCTGCATTTGTCCAAGGATGCCCTAGACAAATAATTTTTGTTCTCCAATGTAAAAAATCAGATCTGATAAGACCGTTAAGTTCACTTCTGTCGGAGCTTCTGTAGTCGTCATTAAGCATTGCCCATATTACACATAGCACAGAATACTTGATGTGGTCTTTAGCTTAATGCTAACGTGTAGGCAGACATTCAAAATATCACAGCACAAAGTAGTTTTTTATAATTATTTTGAATTTTATATATATATGTGTGTTACATAATATAATTTGATTTGTATATGTACGTATTACAGCTCTTTTTCATTGTAGAATACCTCTAGAAAATTTTAATGGCAGTTTGGCCATCTCCCTGTCTAAATAAAATAAGGGTGGCAGATTATGAAGAGTTAATAAGGTTATTTGCTGGAAATCCTATTTGAGGCTTCTCTCGGAGTATATTTTGTTTGTCAAGTTGGTCATCGTCTTCCACTGATCCGTTATAAAAGCTATAATGAATCCCAATGCCACACACTGCCTTCCTTCCTCTGGAGTTGTTGAATTGCTTTGTGAACTCCTGTGCCAAGACATGAATTCTTTGGTTCTGGTGTATGTAGTTTGCAATGTTCACAAACAGTTTCCTGACAAAACCAATATATGACATTTTGTATGTGTACAGGTACATTTTGAGTTTAATCTTTCAACAAAGAATTAAAATTGTAAACTGCATGTTATTGTGATGAAATTTTATGGGCCAGACAACAAGACAGATACATTTCTGTATATTTTTGCTTTGCTACTATTCAGTCTAAGGAATACATCTAATTAGTTTACTAGCAAAAAATCTTATTATAAAATTATGAGATACATGTATTGACTCTTACCCTTTAAGTTTCTAAAACAAGGGTTTAAATACCCCTTAAGATAGTAAACCAAAGGATGAAGGAACCTCTTAATTTGGCCTCAAAAGGGGAGCCCTTGATTGTATTGACACACTTCCCAAAAGTGTGAATTTAGTTTGTGATATTTAGCAGAGTAGGCTATGCATTGTACACAGCCTGTGTTCATTTGTTTTATGTTGATGCTTTTATTTTTCTCTCCAGGTGTATGTAGACACAGTTGGTGACCCAGGCAAATATCAAGCCAAGTTGAAGGAGATTTTCCCAAACATTGAAATTACAGTGGCAAAGAAAGCTGATTCATTGTATCCCATTGTTAGTGCTGCCAGTATATGTGCCAAGGTATGTTGTTGTTGTTTTCAAATCCCTTTAGCTGCGAGCATTTCTCTCTTGACAGCGCAATGCCTCTCTTAAGTAACCACATGTCCTAGTCATCTGGTCAACGCCAGAGTAGAGCAGGCTTTGTAAGTCTGTAGGTGTGTGTAGGAGCCTGCGTCGAAGAACTGCCAGGTTTGGGCAGTGAAGGAGGAGATGTTCAACGGTCTCCTCGTGGTAGTCACAGTGTCTGCAATGGGGTTAATTCTGTTTATGTGCTTGTTGGTGTGTAAGTGTCCTGTGCGGGCTCTGAAAATCAAAGTCTGATCGGCTCTACATAAAAGATTCGAAGGGTCTTTGGGGTTGGGTTTGTCCATATACCCGAACAGAGATCTTCCTGTGTCTGCGTTGGCCAATCTGTTTAGCCACTCGTCTCTGCGTTTGGCTCGGATGATCCCTTTACAGGTCTGTAAAGAGGCGGCTGTGTCTGTCTGGGGCAGGCATGCTCCAGTCTTTGATAGCTGGTCTGCAGTCTCATTCCGTTACTCCAGAATGGCCAGGCACTCAGTGCAGATTTGAATCTGAAATCCACAGATACCGCAATTTATACTTATGTTGACTCCCATTGTCAATAAAAGAGTTCTCTCAATGTTTAGGCTGTATTGTGAGCAAAAAGTTTTTTTGAATTCAGTGAGTGGAGATTCACTTGAAGAAATTGCAGGGCATGAAAAAACATTTTAAGGGAGAAAAAAATTTAGGGGTATTTGCCAACCACAAGACTTGTGAAATCAGATGAATGTTATAAACCAGCAAGCAGGTCTTTAAAAATTTTAATATGTTGTGTCTCTGTGCAGGTGGCCAGAGACCAGGCTGTCAAGTCTTGGGTGTTTAAAGAAGACTTTGCTGTGGAAGAATGTGACTATGGATCTGGCTACCCTGGTGGTATGTATGTTCAGTGATTATTTATTATGCTGATTATATTCTTCTTTGCTGGAAAATTTACACTGTCGGCATTAGACTATTGATTTATCTGAATTATTGCTTCCATATTTTTGTTCTGACCATACTCTCTGTGATGTTTACTTTTGGAAAGTTTCTTTGTTCCTTGCAATGGAATTTTATCTCTGCTAATATCACACTGAGCTTATCATGAGAAATATAACCTCCGCAATATGAACTGAGGCAAAACACATGTGAAGTTTAATCTGAGGGACTATGTTTTATAGGAAGAATTTAGTTTGTTGTTAGATTTATTTGAAAAGAGACCTTTTTTAAAGTTGAACATGTTATTCTCTCTCAAAAGACTTTTTAAAAGTAATTTGTAGCTTTTCTGCTTTTTTGACTGTTTGGAAAGTGCCCAAATATTTGGCAAAAGAAAATGGATTCCAAACAGAAAAATGTAAAAACTAATTTCCTTCAAACTTCAGACACATTTGTGTCAACATATTGGAATCAGGCACTCGTCAACTTTTGGGCATATGGAGTATGGAGTTATTAGTATCAACTATTTTCTGAAATCTTAACTATTTGCCTTTCTTTCATCGAATTAAAAAATACCCATCTATCTTGAATAGAAGTCAAAATTTTGTGATTGAAGAAGGTGGGGGTCACCTGGTTTCAGTCCTATAATTAGCGAGGAAATGGCAGCTGAAGTTAAGTGACTTCAATAGCTTGAGAGTCCTTGAAAACTGAAAAATTCAATATTTTGTGCCTTTAATCTTTTTTTATTGTCGGTGAAATTCACATGGAAATGTGTTTTTATTTGAGCATAAAAGGTTTTGGGCTTTAAAAAACTCCAAAAATTTGATAAAAATTGCCAAAGTGGTAGGAAAATACCTTTTCCTTCTATATCATTTTTAAATGATCGCCTGATTTCACTACGATGCCTTGGAAATGTCAATTTTTGTGTCAATGTTGCAGTTGAATCTTTTTTTTTTTTCACAGATCCAAAGACAAAGAAGTTCTTGCAGGACAGTTTTGACAAAGTATTTGGTTTCCCTACGTTTGTCCGCTTCAGCTGGTCCACAGCTGGAAACATTATTGAAAAAGATGGGGTTGGCGTGCAATGGTAAGTTTCCCTTGTGGTTTTCAACCCTTCTTAAAGCATAGCCTATATTTGCACATCCCAATTTGATGAGGCCGACTACATACATATATAGAAATGGTGCTTCTATTTTCAAAATATGGCTGTCGAATTCAGAATTCATGTACATCATAAAATGTCAAAAGGACATCATTGTCTCTTTCTCTCACAATATCACAATGAGCATCCCAAAGGTATAAGATGTAAACCCCACAGACTTTCAGGAAAACTTTCCTTATTTCTCAGGACACTGAACAGTTAAGCAAGCACTTTTATGTCCTGATTTAAACTTTCAACAACTTGTTACATACAGTAGGTTTACGGAAAGCAGCCCAAGTCTTAATGTAGTAAAAGACAAATGACAAGTGTTTTTTAGTGCTCGAGGGCTGTCCATAGCAGCTTTTTTTCCCTGGGGTGTCACTTCTCACTCTGGGGAAGAAATTCCATGTTTGATTAATATTGCTAAGAAATTACTATTTCTGATAAATTACTGAAAATCTTCCTTCATACAAATGCTTTTGTACCTTGAAGTAGGCTACATACATCGCACTCTCTAAATAAACATGTTCTTTTAGATTTATTTGAAAATGGGAAGGGAGGGCGGGGGGGGGGGGGGGGGGGGGGGGGGGTCCTGAGAACCATCAGACAGTGGAAAAAGAAATATTAAATTATTTTAGCTTTGATTACTTTTGTCAGATATACTGTCTGTGAGTGTCGTCCACATGTATTGTCATTATTACCTGCAAAATGTCCCTGTGGGACATGAAAAACTAATTTCTCGTAGATTGTCTAAAAGAAGCGCTAAGAAGTTTTTACCACTTTATGTTGATGCTTCTCTTTTTATCTGTTGATAGAAAAAAGGGGGGGTTATGTTGAAAAATAAGGTATTGCAGAAAATTTATCTTATATTTGTTTTGTAGTTGATGTTCCTTCACATTTTCAGAAAAAGGAGCCTCTATGAAGAGTACACCAGTTCAAATATATTGTCTGTTGCGTAACCTAGTAGTGAACAGGTAACAGCTCTCGTACAGCATAAGTGGTAAACTAACCATGAGCTCTATTGACTGTTGTACACCTGACAAGGTCACAGAATGTACTACCGGCATCTGAGGTGTGGCGATATAAATTTAAAAAATAAGGTGCTTTGCTGTCGCAGGCGAAAAATGTGAGCTCCATTCTAGTGTGGGAAGTTAGTTTTTTTTCAATCGGGTATCTCCTTTAGTTTAGTTTCTAAGGTTTAACGGTGCTCGCAACTGCATTTGGTCATGTGAACCAAGGGGGTGGGTGTCAACAGAGAAGTCCAAACCAGGAATCAGGCTTACTCTGCTCACCTCTCTAGCCTCAATAGCATAAAGTATGCTTCGACTATCAAGGCACCCTGGAAATAACTGTTCTCAAAAGAGTGACAAACATACAAAAGAAGTAGAGGAAAATGACGATAGTATAGATGAGGAAAGTAAAAGCAGCAGTCCCCCCTATGTTGTTCTGGCACAGTATGAGCATGATATTGATAAATCAGCCCACTTACAATTTTACTGTGCAAAAGAACAAGTTAATATCCCCCCTTTGGGAATGGCCTAAAGACAACTACACACAGTGCACTGCCTTGGTGGGGAGTGGAATATCTCCATCTGCTGGGGTATTGCATCACTCTCAACTGAGGTTGGCCCTGACAGGCAGGGCCAAAGCAACATAACTCTTCTTACTCTTACATGATAATCTAAATTGTGTGGATGGAGGAGTAAGACATCTATTATTACATTTTTAAACAGAATTCACTGAGATTTTCTATTTGTGTGTCCCACAGGGAAGATGATGAAGAGGAGGAGGGTGCCAAGGGCACTCCAGTTCTGTCCCATTTCTTCAAGAAGAAGGATGAGAAAGCAGAGCTCAAAAGACACAGGTTTTTTACTCACAGGCATTTGAAGCATGTGACTGCCTTGTAGATACTGTTATATATATTTTTTTTTTTTTTGTGTAATAAAAGAAATAAAAATGGGCTCCTATCCTTCAGGTGTTTCTTTGTAATCAGTGGTCAGGTAGCTCTCCACTACTTTTGTTCATCATTGTACTTGGTCTTGCCAAGATGGGTGCAACCCCACCCTCTCTTTCCCTCTTCATCTCCCTCTCCTCTTTCCACGCCCTTTTTCATTTAAGACATGTGCTCCTCAAGACAGGCTGAATAACAATGGTGGCTGGTTGGCAGGTGCTCTGGTGTGGTTTCCTATCTAACATCTATCGTCTTTATTTCCCCTCTTTCTTTTTTGTGTTTGTTAGTCTCTTGTAACACCTTCTGCACTTATATGACCTTACTGTGTTGCAAGTGCCGTAAAACACTTGCTAAAACTAAAACGAATAACGATGGTGGGCCCAACAGCTGAGGTGCTCAGGTCCTGTATGTTCATGAGATCTGGGTTGAAAGGCTTCACAAGGCACAGAGTTTCTGCCTATACTAAGGCCACAGCAAGTTACAGAAAAGAATTGAAAGTTAAAGTGAAAGATTATATTTTTTCATCTGATTATAACGATAATTGCAGTTTATTAAGTGCATTATATCCGTGCGCAATGCACTTCACAACTATTACTAGCTTGTTCACTTTCGTCTGTCTGCATTAAATAAATTCCAGCTCATTTACTACTTTACCTGTGCCCAGGAAACTTTGCATTACACTTATGCTAGCCAACGACTAAACAAAAATAAACAAATCTTGATCCTGTTTTGAAAAAGTTTTTGTCTTTTGGCCCTAGGTCTATATTAAAAATCACTCTTTGGTTACATACACAGGATGACTAAAATGAATGACTTCCACCACCCTGCCCCACATTTCAGTGTAAGCTTGTAGATTTCATCCCCCGACTGTCTTGATGGCTACATGTGCGTCTTAAATCGTGTTTCTTTGGCGTACATTAAAGTGTGGTGTTTAGGAAAATATTTCAACTTTTTAATGTTTTAGGTGTATCGGTATGCTGTAAATCCCCTATTAATATTTTTTTTTACCGCTTTAGGCTAGCATCAAAGAAAACTTTGCAGAACATTAGTCGCAGTGACCTTTGAATGGGCTTTTAGATTCAGTTAGACATCCAACTTTTAGACCCGTGTGCAAAGACCTGAGAAGATTAAACAGCTTGTACATTTTAACTTGTTTTGACCATGGTCTGACGAAAGTGAACAAACTATTTTATCACAGCAGACATTATTTATAACACTCAGAAATATTTTTGGCTTCCCGAGAAGCCTAAGTGCAAACAGTTGATTAAATACATGTACTCAAACTCAAATTAATTGACAAGCTCTTTTACTGTCTATAGGCAGGTAACCATTCCCACATGCTGAAAGAAAGGAAAATTCATATAAAATCTCGACCTTAACAAATTTAACAAGAAGACAATGTTGCTCATATAACGATGTTTATTTACATGCCAATCAACACAAAGCAATATATATGCATTTATTTACAAGTCATTACTTTTATTCTGGATACATCCATTGCAAGCAGGGGATACTGTATGAAATGTGACAAAGTTGAGTATTATTATGGTACTTTAACTCTTTTCCTCATTAGCTTTTGGCTTGTACTCAAGCTGGAGTTTTTCAGTGAAAGGGGAAAGGGCAGAATTTTCATGAGATAGAATAATGTGACCTGTGAATGCACTGGATATTAGAAATATGCAGTCTATTGTATTTTTAGAATTTGTATCAAATTTTTTATACTTTGCATCAACAAAGAAGAGTTTGTCATATTAACCTGTTGTCTGTGGTTAAAGAAAATTGTGGCAACTTAATAGTTTTTGTGATTGAATTCAAATGACAAAATCTCTAGTTTCTTTGGTGTAGATTGCAAGCACCTTTTTAAGCAGTTAAATTATCAAACTTATCAAGCACTTTAAGACAATACATGGAGAAGTCTGTAAAAAAGTTACTGTGTAAAAGTAATAAATTCTTATACAGTTCACACGTGCTAGCGGTGACTTAATAAGTCTGTATGCCACTGAGTGCAGAGACTTAAAACTTTGAAAAGCATAATATGTACATACACTACTTATATAACATACTACATAAAATAAGATTAAGAGCCAGTTGGTTGAGTTTAAGATTAAGCATAACATGTTTTTCTATTTGCATGTTTAAGCAGATCTTGGTATCTTTTTTCATATTCAATACTCTCTAAATAAATAAAAATACACACTCAAGTGTATTTTCTTAGAAAACCATAAGTTCATTTCCCTTTTAACTTATAGAAACATTAATTGATTATTTATAGCCAAGACAGTGTATAGAGTATAGAGGCATCTGGTCTTTAACATTTCTTTCAAGGGTTTGTGATAGATAATAACAAGCAGATGCCAAACTCTAAGTGCATGTGTAGTACACATTGTGTATTGAAAGTAGGAATTGCTACATTGCCAGTGGGTCGCAGCAATGATCACAGGGTGCTTCTGGCACGCGTCCAGTTTCTATTGTTGTAGTGGTGAAAGAGGAATTTCTTCACAATCATCTTGTTCTCAACAACAGCTGTAACTAAGTGGACTGCGTGATGCTCACCATTTGTAAATAATGAATGTTAATATTGTTAATTCTTCACTGTACACATTTACACAGGATGATCTCCAAATATCAGCAGCATACTAGACGTTCATACTGCCACATTCAGCCCTTCTTTATCCACACTCTCGACTCTTTCTCATAATGTCTGTACAAAGCAGTTTGTGAAAAGCTGTGATGGCAAAAGGTCTTGTAAAGGCAAGTTTTGCACAGGTTTTTACAACATTTGTATGTAGAAAACAGTAATGTCAGTATGAGTGATATGAGTGAAGAATGAACGTATGTCATCATGACTGACAATCAACAGAAGCTCTGAGTTTATGGCATAATGATGGACAGACAAGTCTTCGAACATGTAACATCATGTATGAAAAATAGAAATGAACGATACTGACACGCATTCATTCACTCTCACCACACTGGGGAACATATTCATCTTTCACAGTTCAATTGCAATAACTTCACATTCAGTCAGAATTCATAAAACTTCATTATAAACCAGTACATCGTCACCTGTGGCTGTGACTTATTTCAAAGGAAGTAATGGGCATTTGAGTAGATCTACAAGTACAATGTATTTCTATTACCATCTACTCTACATTCGTGCTTCCCTCTTTTTGAGCTTGCAATGTCACACTTGAACCAAAGGAATGAGTTCTACGTGTACTGTCTGCCTGTTTCCAGAAATTAAAAAAATGTTTTGACATTTAACGCGCATACTTTGACGACAATTAGATCTAGCAGAGCTACCACACGTTAAATTTTAGTCAGTCTTGAAAAGTAGATCTAATTTTTACTGTACATGTACATGTAAGTATAACAGTAGTCACTGTGGTTCAATGGTTTCAACAAACTGCAGCTACCTTACAGTTAAAATTGAGCAGCCATGTTCCATTTTTATAACCTTCTTGATGTCAAGCTAATTTGAACACCACTTGCTAGCCAAAACAAAAAACCACTTAAAAAACGTCGATGTGTACTGCTTCAGCTACCTTTATAGTCTTTCCGATTTTGGTACAGTACAGGGAACGTCAGATACATTATGTAAGCCTACGTGTGCATGTATTTACTCAAATTTACTGTGAGTGTTTGAAGAGATACAACACATTCGAAAATTATCAGGATTATTTCCCTTGTATCAAGTCCCGCAACTCTCTTCCATCCACACGTTCTGTCTACGTCTTATTACATGTACAACATCCCGAGATTCGTTTCCCGAGTTTCTCTCTATGATTAAGCGAGTGTGAAGTGGCACGTTTAGTTGATTTACAAGTTAGCATGTAAGATGTAATGATATATACATAATGTATCTTAATTCATGTGGTATTGTCAGAATGACTCCTCGCAAGACCCAGTGACCCGTTCATAATAATAACGACCACTATAGAACAAGCTATATGAAGAGACACCGATGACTATATAGTGACTAGCGAGGGGTTGAACGAAAGAATGATCGAACAAACCAAATGAAAATTAATCCATAAGATTCGTGAATAAAAGGAGAATCTGGTTTTTACAAATTGGGAAAGGGGAGAGGGGGGGGGGGTCTAAATACAATACAAAGATTTGAATAATGAAGGAGCAAAGAAAGCACGGCATGGTATGAATTTAACTCCCCTATCAACGCTATTGGTTATTGGAGAAGCGGGACCCGTAAATCCAGCGTAAATTCCAAAAGCACCAAGTTAACTGGCTGGAGAGTTTGAAAGCTCCAGCAATTTAAGTTCAAGAATACCCCGCTCTGAGTTCGAAACAGGGACCCCTGCGCCGTTATCCAGCATGATACCAACTGAACATACGCAGAGTGAGTGAATGGAAGATCATGTCAAATGCATAGTGAGTGTAGAGCAGAAGAACAAAATAGACGAGGAAATGAAGTAGAGGCCTACACGTAGGGTCTACTGAGAAGGCCTGGAACAAAAGAGAGAAAGACTTTAAAAAAATAAAAAAATAGAGAAGCTGTTCTTATGTCAAGACTGAATAAAGGCGAATTTATAGGGAAGGTGAAAAAAAAAGACAAGACACGTACGAAAAAGAAAGGGTTGCAAAGTTAAGAACTCCGCAGGTCCGTTTTAACTCTCCGCACAAAAAAAAGGCAACCGTTTCGCCTTTGAACTACACTAACCAGCTGCACCCCCTCCCTCCTTCTGGGGGAACTGCCTGCAATAGCGCTGGTGCGTCAAGACACCCGAGTCAGTAAGTTAGCACACGTCATTGTCACACACTGGCCTTTTGCTCCCGAAAGAAATGTTGGTGTTAGCGGTCATTTAGTGGCCCCGATATCAACATATCGATGGTGTTGTTATGCTCTTACTTAAACAGTGTAACTGGTTTCTTGAAATCTTTACGACAGGCACCCCGCCCCCTCAAAAAAAATAATTTTTTTTTAAATTAAAAATTTAAAAAAATTATATATCAGAGAAAGCTCAAAACGTAACCGTTGCCACTTTTAATAATAGGCTG